GCAGTTACTCGATATTAACCAGCTCCCGCCCTGCTCCGAGATCATCCTTCCTCGCGTGGAAAAATGGCATGGTCGTGGCAACGTCCCCTTGCATGTGTGCGAGTTGATTGTTATGAGGCTGAATTTTATCCATAAATACCTTCCCACTTATATCTGCACGTCTTTACTCAAGTCCTTATTTAACGGGTGGAATACGACTAGGAGGTACAGGTGTGGTTCAGCCAATTGTCGAATGGGGTGCTACTCAGTGGGGGGAGATGATATCTTACACTATGTATGCTGTCCTGTGGCTCTCGATTATCTGAAGCATCATGTTCCTCTTGTGCCTGCTGAATATGGTTCTGAGCCCCTCTCCTCCTTCCTGCCCCATCTTTTTCCTCCCGATCGGGAAGCCATCCTGTCCTGTGCCATCGCTCTCGATGCAATCCATGCCACTTTTCAATCCCTTCGTGCCTCGCCTCTCCCCCCTTCGATCGCTCGGACGCGCGGCCTGATGGCCGCGCGCCTGCGCACTACTGCACGACGGTCTGCGACAGCGACCACGCTCCTCCGAGGCGCGCGCCCCACCGCCGTGCCACCGCCACCCCCTCCGGAGGGAGGATGATGCTATGGACACAGTCGGACTCGTTCTTTCTCTCCCCTTCGCGTCGTGCCCGCTTGCCCTCTTGTCCCTTGCTCGCGTCTTGTCCGCTCGCCCTCCCCTTGGTCGGTGCTACTCCTCCTCACCATCACCAGCACCATTGCCATTATCCTCCCTCTCCTCCTCGTCATCCCAATGTTCCGCTGCTTCCCTCTTGCCTTGCCCTCCATCCGCTTCCTTTAATCCACCACCCCCCGCCTCTCTCCCTCCCTCTCTCACTCCATCCCTCAATCCCTCCCTCTCTCTCTCTTTCTCCCCCCCTCCTTCTGCGCTCCCCGCCTCCTCCGCCTCCCTCCTCCTGCTCCTCCTCCTCCTCGTCCTTTTCCTCCTCTTTCTCCTCCCCCTCCTTGTCAAAAGGGATATCTTTCCAGAAATGATGCTGTGCAACTGTGGGCACGCCATGTCATAGCTGGCAGAGTGCTGCCCCCCCGTGCGAGACTTTTTCGTCAGCATGTTGGCCCGAAGGCCCCCCCTCAGGACTTGGCAGGCTCCTTGGGGTCTCACCGCTCCGACCCCCAGGCAAAGACTCCAGGTTCAGGCTTCCAGCGATCTCTTTTCAGGCCCTCGTCGAACTGGTGATTCAGGTTGCGCTGTGTGGAGGGACGGGATGGATGGACCATCCAGCCCCGCCTACCTGGGAGCCCAGATGGTTTCCGTCTTGGCACTGTCTGCCTATCAAAGCTCTCCAAGCCTCCCCCTACCTCCACTTTCATCCCCCGAACTGGACCACGTAGGCAGAGCGCCCTCGATCTTGTTGGCCATTCGTATGCCAGCACTTCAGGACAATTGCGAGACGCGCCAGGTGTTTTTTGTTCTCACAGCGAGGGTGCTCACACAGCACTCGCAGGATGGGACCACGACGCCAATTTATGGCGCGCTGTTGTTAAGGCAGCGTACCCACCTACGTCGTGCCAGATTCTTACGGAGCGTATGCTAGAATCATGGTTGTCCTTTCTTTCAGGTCTTTCCAGTTTTGTTGCCCAGGGCCAGAACGCTACGTCTGAAGTGCAAGATGTGTATGCGTTTTTGGGTTGATTCTACACGGAATCATGATGATATGCTTTCACATGGACTATATTCCGCGCGTTCATTTCTCTTCTAAGCGTCATGTTTATGGCTTCAATCGAATTTCTGAGGTTGCTTCTGGTGGGCAGGAGGATGCTCCGACGGAGGAGCAGGAGCTTGGTGCTCTCCAGACTTTATGTATGGCGGCGGCGGAGGGAGTAGAGCAGTGGGGAGCAGACGCTCTATGGGCAGAGGCTGGAGCTACACCACCCGCCCCGCCACCACAGCTTGCCCCAGATGACTTAGCCAGGACTGCCTCCAACAGAGCAGCTGGGCTCGCAAGGGGGATTGAGAAAGCAGAGGTGGCCAAGGCCGCCAACCGTGTTTCAATACATGTTCAGGGTTTGTTTGCCTCTAACGTGTGTGCTGCCCCGGTTCGACCCACCTGCGCCGTTCAGAATGATTTGCCTCAGTGGTTCAGCCTGGTTGTTTTCAATGTTTGGTGTTGGTCTCAGGTGTTGGGTTACTCAGGGGTTCACTGTTTGTCTTTCGGCCCCAAGTGGCAGAGTTTCGTCTAGGTATCTGTGTCTGGACTCGTTCAGTCGCGGACCAGATGTTTTTTTTTCCCTACATGCCGACACGCGCTGAGCTCCAGATGGTATGCAATGTAAGCCGTGCCCAGGATCTCAGCTACGCGTGATTTCTTCAATCATTCCTTCATGATGGTGGGTGGGCTATTTTTCATGTTTGTGGACTGCGCTTCCGTCCGTGCTCGCCAGTCCGTTTTTTTCTTGCCCTCCGTGCCGCCCCCACACCCCCACCGCGCCCGCGCCCGCATTCGTTGTCGGGGATGCCGTGGACGACCACATGGCCGTGCACGAAGAGGTGTGAAGGAGCAGCGGGCATGACGTCGACTCTTTGGCCTTGCTGCGGCCCCATCATGGTGCTTTGGCATCTGAGCTCTGGGCCCTCGTGTGGCTCTGGCTCTTGGGCCCTTGTTGTTGGGCCACCCTCGGCTGTTATTTCCAAGGGAAGTGGCGCCCGCCTAGTAGTTGCGAGCCTGACTCGCGCCTTCGAGGGGGACCGAACCGACCCTCCTCCTCCTTCTCCTCCTCCTCCTCCTCCTCCTCCTCCTCCTCCTCCTCCTCCTCCCCCTCCTCCCCCTCCCCCTCCCTCTCCTCCTCCCCTTCCCCCTCCGCCTCCTCCCCCCCTCCGAGAAGGCCGCGCGGGGAACGTCCCCCGGGGCCCGAGCAGTGCGGCGCCCGCGTCGAGCTCCTGGCCCTCCCGCGCGGCATCGGAGATTCCAATTCACCGCCGCTCTCCAGAAGCCGCCTCTCCGGAAGCCATTTCTTTATTGTTTGGGGCATGACGGGTGTCATGCCCCCCGCTCCCCCCCCCCCATGACGTAACGCTCCCCCCCCCCAGTGCGCTCCGGGCACTGCCGCCGTGCGCATTGGGATCCGCGTAGGTGTCCGCGTAGGAATCCGCAGGTGTCTGGTCCGCTTGCGTCGTCGTCGTCGTCGTCGGAGAGGCTGGCAGTGCCAGCCCAGTGCGCAGCTGATCAGGTCATTCCTTTCTAAGCTCTGGCACCGGAAAGATACATCGTCAGACCTCATAGCCGGCTTCGCTCATTCCGCCTGCCGATAGTCCCACTGCTGTCGGTTGGCCGAGCGTGCGTCGTCAGTGCGCGGAGCTGCTGGGGTGGCGGCCGTTGTGCGGAGGCGTTGCGTTTGGCGCGCTGAAGGTGGAACAGTTTCCGAGAAGCTGTCGTTGGGTGGTTCGTCGGGACTACTAGGGGTGTTGTTGGGGGAGTGGGCGTTTTTACGGAGCTTGCATCTTCATGCGTAGCGGATTATGCTTTCGTCGTGCGTGGAGTTGGGCGACTTGCCGTCAGCAGTGTAGGTCTCCCAAGTGGGGTTCAAGCAGATTGTGAGCAGGAGGCGCACCACCACCACCACCAGCACCACCACCAGCACCACCAGCACCACCACCACCAGCACCACCACCACCACCACCACCACCACCACCACCACCACCACCACCACCACCACCACCACCACCACCACCACCACCACCACCACCACCACCACCACCACCACCACCACCACCACCACCACCTAGGGGGATTCAGGATCAGCTGGTGAGCGGGATACGGGTGTGCACGATGTCCTGCGGCGTTGTGTGAACCGATATACACGACCACCACCCGTGACCACCCTGTGCCTCTATCTTCCGGGTGGTGATGGTGGTGGTGTGTTTCCCTTTCCCTAGTAGACAGGGTCCTAGGGTCGCGCCGCATCGCCGATGTATCAGCGATGCAACTCGATGCGGAATCAGATCTTCTCCACGCCGATGGCGCCGACACATCGGCGATGTCGCCGGCGTATCGCCGAGCATCGGCGATGCATCGGCGACGCGGAGCGCTCCTTGGACCCAGTCTACTCGGACCCCATTGGGGAGGCCTCCAATTAGGTTTTCGTCGTGCGTAGACGTGGACGACCTGCCACCAACAGGCCAATAACGAATGAAGACCTTGGAAGAGGATGTCCGCGGCCCTTCAGAGACACCCTCTCTTCTGTCACAAAGTTGAGAGCCGTGCTAGCGACGAACGAGCTGCCTCCAGAGAGTATCGGAAACCTTGGGCTGAATCTAGCAGCTTAGTAGACAGGCGAGCCGAGGAGGCTGCACTCGCCAGAACTGCCCAACCTCCATAGAAGATCGAGTATGGGAAGCAGGCGGTCAAGGCTCATGCTCGGTGTGCCTGGGTCGTGTTGGTGGGCGTGCCCGTGTGATGAAAAGGGTTCCCGGCCCCCCGCCATTCCGTAGCGGTCCCCGCAGGCCCTGCCACGCCCGCGGGGTCCGTCCAAATGGCCCGCGAGGGGTTACAAGTTGGAGGCGTCGCACCGCACGCCAGCCGCTGCGTGGTGGCTCACGAGGATATTTGAATCTTCTGTTGCACCAGCTGCGGATGTGTCTGTGCACGCGAGGGCGGACTTTTGCGTAACCCTGCCAACGAGTGTCGCCCGTGTGGGAAACGGGGGAAAATGAAACCTCGACCAGGTAGCACACGGGGCTTGGTCAGGCAGTCCGGCTGCAACAGTTGAATTTAATAATCGGACAGGCCTCCTGCGGAGCAGGAAGCCCTGATCCGCAGCGATATTCTCAGTCTTCGAACACTGCTCAGATTTTATCCTCCTCCCCCTCCTCGTCCTCCTCATCCTCCTCTTTCTCCTCCTCCTCCTCCTCCTCCTCCTCCTCCTCCTCGTCCTCCGCTCCTCCTCTTCTCCTCCTCCTCTTCTCCTCTTCTCCTTTTCCCCCCTATTGCTCCTCCTCCCCCTCCTCCTTGCCCTCCACGGTGCACCACTGGCTCCTCGTCAGCTACGCCTGCGTGCTGGGCTTCCGGGCGACCCACATACTCGGCACCTGGAGCCAGGAGGCCCCGGGCCGATGGCGGGGTCGAGCCGCCGCGGTCGCCTGTCGTCGCCACAGCATTGAGAGCGTCGAGGGGGGGGTGAGGACAGCCCCGGCACCTTCGCATTGTCGAGCAAAAAACACGGCAAGAGATGTTTTTGGGAATTTTCGGCCTCCGGGGGCCCATACCAGGCACACGGAGCGTCAAACAACGACTCGGGATGAAAAACCGGTCCAGGGAGGAGTCCAGACCTCCAGGACTCCACGTTGCGAAAAAATAGCGGCTTCGGAGTTCTCGGGAGGAAGAGGTGGTGGATTGCGGAGATGGTTCGGAGGTTCTTGGGTGCCTTCAGGAGGATTTCGGGAGGCTGTTGGGAGGTTTTCGGAGATCCTCGTGGGTTCCTTGAGGCCCTCGGAGGCTTTCGGAGGCTTCCCGGGTTTTCGGGGAGGCTCTCGGACATTCGGAGCGCCTCGGCTGCTCCCAGAGTTTTTCCCAGAGATGCTCGCAGTTTCTCGGGTGCTCTCGGTCGGGAGCGTCCAGGGGTGGTGGTGAGGACACGGGGGGCGTGCACATCATGTCCGGGGCCATGATGTCTCCCGGATCTCGAGGCCCCCTGCTCCTCTTTTCTCAGGAGAGGAAAAAACACACAGACACAATTAATCGTCGATTCCCAGGAAAATATGGGGAAGTATGGGAAGTGGGGGGGGAAGACAAAACCCAGAAACTATGAGAAAATATGGGGAATCTGTTTATTTGTGTTTATTTATTTGTGTGTCCTGGGGCCCCTTTCTTTTCGAGCGTCCCCTGGCCCCCGCTCGTCCGCGCACGTGCCTCGGGTGGACGATGCGCAAGCTCTCCCCTTCCTGCCCCCCTCTTCGGTGCACCCAGTAGTAGGCCCGTGGTGCACCCGCAGGTCTAATCGTCGTCTTAGGAGGAGGAGGGGGAGGAGGCGGAGGAGGAGGAGGAGGAGGAGGAGGAGGAGGAAGAGGAGAAGAGGAGGAGAGGAGGAGGAGGAGGGAGGGAGGAGGAGGAGGAGAGGAGGAGGAGGAGGAGAGGAGGAAGAGTAGGAGGAGGAGGGGGGAGGAGGAGGAGGAGGAGGAGGAGGGGAGGAGGAGGAGAGGAGGAGGAGGAGGAGAGGGAGGAGGAGGAGGAGGAGGAGGGAGTGGGGGAGGGGGGGAGGGGGAGGGGGAGGGGGAGGGAGGAGGAGGAGGGAGGGAGGAGGGGAGGGGGGGGAGGGGGGGGGGGGAGGGGGGGAGGGGGGGAGGGGGGAGGGGGGGAGGGGGGGATGGGTGGGGGGGGCGGGGGGGGTGGGGGGGAGGGGGGGAGGGGGGGAGGGAGGGTGGGAGGGAGGGAGGGCGGGGAGGGGGAGGGCGGGAGGGAGGGAGGAGAGAAGGGGAAGGGAAGGGACGGGAGGAGGAGGAGGAGGAGGAGGAGGAGGAGGAGGAGGAGGAGGAGGAGGAGGAGGAAAGAGGAGGAAAGAGGAGGAGGAGGATGAGGAGGAGGAGGAGGAGGAGGAGGAGGAGGAGGATGAGGATCCAGATTGAGGGTCCAGGATCCATGATCGAGGCATCCATATTCAGGAGTCATGACAGTCCAAGTTCGACGATTTGGATCCGACGGTCTTGACCCAGAGGCCTCCAGGGACCGATGACTAAGGATTCAGGCATCGACAAAAGCGATGTTTAGGTGAACTTCGTGGGCAGGTATCGTCTTTGATCCCGTTCTCATAATTCTTATTCTGAGGACCATGGGGAGGCGATCGCGACTCCAGAGTTGCCCCAAACCCGTGTTTCGGGGAATGTCCTGGATTGCTGTCGCCTTCGAAGCATAAACAAAGCGAATGCGCAACACGTTGTTTGGGTAGACCCCTGCCAGGATCCATATTCGATGTTCGAAGGCCCTCGGCGGTTTTCGGATGTTGTTTGGGCGCTTGTGTATCTACCCCTGCCATGATGCATGGTCGATGAACGAGGGTCTTCAGCGGTCTTCGAATATTGCTCGACGTTCCTGGTCCTTCTGGTCCTCCGGGGAGGAGGGATGAGGGGGATGATGATGATGATGATGATGATGATGATGATGATGATGATGATGATGATGATGATGATGATGATGCTGGTGATGGTGATGATGATGATGCTGATGCTGATGATGATGCTGATGAAGCTGCTGCTGATGATGAATCTGATGATGATAATGATGCTGATGATGATGATGTTGATGGTGATGATTATGATGATGATAATGGTGATGATTATGATAATGATGACGATGATGATGATGATGATGATGATGATGGTGATGATGATGATGATGATGATGATGATGATGATGGTGATGGTGATGATGATGCTGATGCTGATGATGATGCTGATGAAGCTGCTGCTGATGATGAATCTGATGATGATAATGATGCTGATGATGATGATGTTGATGGTGATGATTATGATGATGATAATGGTGATGATTATGATAATGATGACGATGATGATGATGATGATGATGATGATGGTGATGATGATGATGATGATGATGATGATGATGATGGTGATGGTGATGATGATGCTGATGGTGGTTGTGGTGATGATGATACTGCTGCTGCTACTGACGATGATGCTGACGCTGATGATGATGACGATGATGATGACGATGATGATGTTGATGACGATGACGATGATGATGATGATGATGATGATGATGATGATGATGATGAAGCTGATGATGATGATTATGATGGTGATGCTGATTACGATGATGATGATGATGATGCTGCTGCTGATGATGATGATGCTAATGATGATGATGCTGATGATTCTGCTGATGATGCTGATGATGATGCTGCTGATGATGATGATGATGATTATGATGATGATGATGATGTGATGATGATGCTGATGATGCTCATGATGATGATGCTGATGCTGATGGTGATGATGATGCTGATGATGCTGATGATGATGATGATGCTGCTGATGATGATGATGATTATGATGATGATGCTGACGCGGCTGCTGCTGCTGATGATGATGATGATGCTGATGATGCTGCTGCTGATGATGATGATGTCGATGATGATGATGTTGATGATGATGATGCTGCTGATGATGATGATGATTCTTGATGATGATTGATGCTGATGATGCTGATGGTGATGATGATGCTGATGCTGATGCTGATGCTGATGCTGATGATGCTGATGCTGATGATGATGCTGATGATGATTGATGAATGATGATGATGATGATGAGGATGATGATGATGCTGATGCTGATGCTGTTGATGATGATGATGATGTGCTGATGCTGATTATGATGATGATGATGATGATGATGATGATGATGATGATGATGACGATGACGATGATGATGCTGATGATGAGGATGCTGATGCTGATGCTGATGATGCTGATGATGCTGATGCTGATGATGATGATGATGACGATGATGATGCTGATGATGATGATGATGATGATGATGATGATGATGATGATGATGATGATGATGATGATGATGATGATGATGATGATGATGATGATGATGATGAGTAGGAGGAGTAGGAGTAGGAGGAGGAGGAGGAGGAGGAGGAGGAGGAGGAGGAGGAGGACGAGGAGGAGCAGGAGCAGGAGCAGGAGCAGGAGGAGGAGGAGGAGGAGGAGGAGGAGGAGGAGGAGAACAATGGCTTTATCCCCGACTCGGTCGGTTCGATCGCTCCGCATTCGGCTGCACTGAGCTCGGTTCGGCTGGCCCCTGCCTGGATCCAGAAAAGACCCCCAGGCGCCAAATATCATAGATCCCCAGCCTTCTCTCCCTCCTCCTCTTCCTCCTCCTCCTCCTTACCCACTTACCCACAAATGGTCTCGAATGGCTTGAGAACTGAACTGAACTCCTCCTTTCCCTCCACAAGAACCACTTGCTCCATGTGTGTGCGCTGAAGGGAATGGTTTGAATGTCCCTCATCTGCGTGCCCTCAATCACAGATGCAGCTTTCGAGTGCAGGGACGGTGATTTGCTCGCTGTCCGCCTCAGTTTCAAGTGCTACTCCAGTCATGGGCAGCTGTGAGGACTGCCCAAGGCGTGCGCAGAGCGTCCCAGCCGACGTACGCAGAACTAATAGGACGTTCACGCCCATGTTTCCAAGGGAAGGCATCCCGACCGTACAGGAGCCAAAGTCATTGTCGGGTCTTGGTTGTCTCTCTTGCCCTCATGTTGTAGAGACTTTGTCAATGCCCCATTTCCACTCTGCTCCGACGGCCACCCTCGCCTGTAAAGCTGGGCTGGCCAGACCACGGCTGATAAGAAGCATGATCGCTTTCAGATGATCGCGCCTGGGGCACATCAGCTCCCAGCTGAGACACCGAGCCCCTACTCCCACCCACTCATTCACTCCTCCGCTTCCTCCGTCGCCACCCTCCTCCTCCTCTTCCTCCTCCTCCTCCCTCCTCCATGGGCACAAAGTGGGCACCTGGGGGGGGCGGTATTTCGGACCCCCCCCTCCTTTTCAAAGGGGGGTCGGACGCCCCCCCTCTCCCTGCGCCGTACAGGAGAGCATGGGGGAGTGCCTCCCGCTTCCCTGTGCTGCGCCGGAGATAGCGGGGGTCAGGGTTAGGGTGCTTGGGTTGGGGTGAGAGTGTTAAGATTAGGGTGTTAGGTTAAGGGCGTTAGGGTTAGGGTGTTAGGATTAGGGGTAGGGTTAGGGGATTAGGGTGAGGGTTAGGGTTAGGGGGCTCGGATTAGGGTGTTCGGGTTCGGGGTCGGGTAAGGGGGTTATGGTTTGGGTGGTCGGGCTCAGGTTAGGGTGATAGGAATCGTGTGAGGGGGTTAGGGTCAGGGTGGTAGGGTTAGGGGGTGAGGGGGTGAGGGGGTTAGGATTAGGGTGGTAGGTTTTCGGGGTTAGGGTTAGGGGCTTCGGGTTAGGGTGTTAGGGTCAGGGGTAGAGAGTTAGGGTTTAGGCTAGGGGGTTAGGCTTAAGGTTAGGTAGTTAGAATTGGGGTGGTAGGGTTAGGATTCGGGTTAAGGGGGTTAGGGTTAGGGTGGTTGGATTTGGGTTAGGGATTTAGGGTCAGTGTCATGGGGTCTCGGGTTACGGTGGTAAGGTTAGGATTCGGGTGTTAGCGTAAGGGTTAGGTGTATGGAGGTGAGGGTTAGGGGGGTCGGGTAAGGTTAAGGGTAAGGTTCAGGGTTCAGCGGTTCGGGTTCGGGGGTTAGGGGGTTAGAGGGTTATGGGGTTATGGGGGTTAAGGTTAAGATGATAAGACTTGGGTTCTGGTTATGTCTAAGTTTAGGGTTAGGGGGTTAGTGTTGGGGTGTTAGGGTTAGGGATAGGGAGTCGTTGGGTTCGGGTTAGGGTGTTAGGGTTAGGTTTAGGGTTAGGGTGAGGGTTATAGGGGGGTCAGTGGTTTGGGGGCAGGGGTTAGAGGTTATGGGTTAGAGCTCAGGTTAGGGTTAGAGTTTGGTATTGGGTTAGGGTTCAGGTTAGGATCAGGGTTAGGGTGAGGGTGAGAGTGAGGGTAAGGGTTTGGGTGGGTGAGGGTTAGGGTGAGGGTTAGGGTGAGGGTTAGGAATAGGGTTTGGGTGAGGGGCTTGGGGTTAGGGATTCGGGTTAGGGCCACTCGCCTCTATTCGAAGCCCGCTGGACGTATCCCATCCATGACCAATCACATGTAGAACTCAACGCAGTGCGATGCGTCATGCGCAGTACTTGCGCAGCGCCTCAACACGATGCAGCGGCGACGCGGCATTGGATCGAAACGACCAGTGGGTAGCTCCTCACAGCAGGTTGCCGACGCAGACGCATTTGCGATGTGCTGCGCAGCTTCGCGCGTTGCGCGGGGGCTATGAGGGACCCCCCCCGCCTCTCTTGCGTCCGTATCCACTTGGACTCTGGGCGGGCTGCTCGTGCAACCCAGGCGAAGCGCTGCTCCCTGGCTCACGCCGCCATGACTCGCAGACGCCCGGCGGCTTCCGGGGCAGCCGATTCTGCCGGTGGCGCGGCGGAGGCGGCGGCCGAGCGAGGGCAGGCCCCGCGTTGGGTGCAAGGGATTCGGGCCCCACGCATGGGGAATCGTTTTTTTTTTTTTTTTTGCAAATGATTCCGGCCGCATGGGCACAACACCAGTTTTTTTTACAAAGTGGGGGTCGCCGAGGGGGCGGCATCAGAGAGTCCGTGAGGGGTCTCAAGGCCTGAATCTTCATAGGCTCCCAGTTCTTCGGGGGTTTGCGTCATGAGGTGGTGGTCTGGAGCTAGGGTTCCAGAGTGCAGGGTGGGAGGGTGGAGGGCCCGAATTTCGAATTTAGGAGGGGGGAAGGGGGGGGGGGGGCTTGAATCCCCCCCCGTTTGAAAAGGGGGGGGGGGCAGGGGGGGATCCGTCGACGACGGATCGGGAAAGTGGGGGGGCATGGGGGGTGAGGGCCGCCAACGACGGACTGGTGAAAGGGCCCAGCCCCCCCCCCTTGGGGGCATCCAGCGGCGCGCCTTCGATGATGATGATGCTGATTTTGAAGGACATCCTGATGATGGTGATGATGGTGATGATGCTGATGGTCATGATGATGTTGGCGCTGGTGGTGTGCTGCTGATGATGCTATTAGATTTATGCGATGTTGATGCTGCTGATGTTGATGCTGCTACCAATGACTATAATTATGATCGTGATGAGGATGAGGATGGGGATGACGGTTATGAGGGTGATGATGACGTTGATGAGGATGGTGTTGCTGATGATGGTGTCGAGGATGAGGATGATGATGATGATGTTGGTGATGCGGATGGTGCTGGCGATGATTTTTCTGCTGATGTTGATGAAGATGAAGCTGTTGTTTATGATGATGTTGATGATCCTGATGATGGTGATGATGAGGAGGAGGGGGGGGAGGAGGAGGAGGATGAGGAGGAGGAGGATGAGGAGGAGGACCACGACGATACGACGATATCGACGACGACCCAGGCGGAGGCGAACCCCCTTGACGGTCGCAGCTTCCTCCTGGAGCTCCGCCACAAGGGCGCGGTGGCGCAGGCGCTGTCCCGTTTCGTGTGGCTCCTCGCCGTGCCCTTCTTCTCGGTCTGGACCCGCGCGCCGCGCATTTTTTTTTTGTTCTTCTTCTTCTTCTCATTCTTCTTCTTCTTCTTCGTCTTCTTCTTCTTCTTCTTCTTCTTCTTCTTCTTCTTCTTCTTTTCTTCTGCTTTCAGTCGTCGGCGTGGGCAGATCGGGATTGGGATTCCCCTTTGATTGTCAGTGCAAGTGGAGGCCAGCCAATCCCCACAGGCCGACCGGGTTTGGGATCCACGTGGGGCCGATATCCTCTTTCCGGCCTCCCGGTTGGCCGAATTATGGGAGTTGCTGAGCGGCTATCTGGGCTTCGCGACAGGAGCCTGCCCGACCCGGGTTTGTGCTGACCTGGATTAGTGCGTCCCCGATGTGCGGCGGGGCTTTAGGGGCCGCCTCCGATCCGATTCGATGCGATTCGCTTCGCCGGCGGGGACCGCGATTCCGATTCGATTCGGTTCGGTTCCAATTATTGGCATCGGCCAGGGCCAGCCAAAATCTTGCGTGGCGATCCAATGTCGATTAAATTCGAGACGATTCGCGGCAAAACGTTTCAGGGACAAGGGCTTCTTCGGACGTTTTCGGAGGCGGTTGGAGGTTTTCGGACGATTTCGTCGGTTGTCGTCGTTTTTCCAGCCTCGGGATCAGCTTTTTCTGGCGGCTGCGCTTCGCCGAGAGCATTCCAGGGGTGCCCAGATCGTCCCGACCGCCTGCCGGACAGCCGAGTGATGTACCGAACGTCAAGGGGCAACGTCAAAAGGGGACTGACTGGCTCATGGGGGAAACATCGACCCCCCATCGCGCACTCCTCGCCGATCGGAGCCTGGGCCCCCCTTCCCGCCCAGGGACGGGAGGCTTCGCTGTCGAAGGCCCATCGCCGACGTGTCGGCGATGTGTCGCCGATTCCATTATTCCATCCCACTGTTTTTCCCCTGTTGATGGTAGTGGTCGTGATTGATCGTGCCTGGTGCTGTGCTGCTGCGCGTGTGTAGGCGCAGCCTTGCAGAAATGACGGTCGGCCGGCCAGGGTCTGCGAATCTGGCTCGGGACTCGCTAACAAAGCTCTCTCGAGTCGACGCTTGAGCCTGTCGGCGATGTATCGCCGATTCCAGGTCTATGTTCCCCCTTACCCCTGCGCCCCCCCCCCGTTCCCCGCTCGGGTAGGTCTCTTTAGCGGCCAATTTCGAATCTTCACCCCCGCGGGTGCAGTTGGTGGTCAGGTGTCGGACACCCCCGCTGGGGTTCGCTTGGCTGCCCTTCAACTTCGGAGTTTGGGTGAGCCTGGTTGGGGAACCGCTCGCGGCCTTACGTGTTTCAGGAGGGGAAACGACACACAGACACAATTCATCGTTAATCCCCCAGAAAGCCCGGGAACATATGGGAAGTGGGGGGGAAGACGAAAATCCAGAAAATATTAGAAAATATGGGGAATCCTGGGATTCGTGTGTATTCACTTGCGTGTCTCAGGGCCCCTTTAGTGTTGGCCGAGCTGGGCTTGGGAAACCAACCAAACACAGCTGCGCATTTTTTCTAAACGTGCTGAGCTGGGTTTGCGCTGAGCCTGGTTGATCCACGCCCGACAGGGGTGAGGTTCAATTGTGGTGATTTGTTTCTGACTTCCCGATGTTCGATGCTGTACGTGTCGATGTTGCCACATTTCAGTGCTGCCTTCGCAGCCGCTGCAGGGGTGCAGACGTCGGCATAATGAGCGCAACACTCGGGGGTGGACAGAACCCCCAACAGTGACACGTCGATTAGTGAATTGTCCGTTTTCCGTTCTCGAGAGGGCGCCGTGGCCGCTATTTTCCAGGCTTGCGCCCGCCAGGTTTGGGCCTCAGGTCGTTTTCACTAAACCACGTTTTGCTAAAGGGGGGTCTGTCCATCCCCGAAACACCGCAGACACCCGTTTCCAACGTCGAAATCGGGGACGCGGGGGCTCTCAACGCGTGGGTTTCTCGGCTCTTCTGGGTCTCCCAATGTGGCTTGACATCGCTCGGACGTGTGCATTTTTCCATCGGCGAGGACCATCGAAGAGCATCCTTGATCATTTGGCAAAAAACACGCACGAAACCGAAAAAAACACAGGGAATGGACGTCCGAGCGATGGCGAGTGTGGGGTCAGAGCAGGCGGTCAACGGATCGTGCCGCGTCGCCCGAGGCGGCTCGATGTGGAGCGCCGATGGGGCGACGCCGATGCATCGCCGACGCGTCGGTTTGGCACCGGTGATGCGGCGCTTCGACCCCATCCACTTCGACCCCGTTTGAGCGGCCTCCTCCAGCAAAGGGGTCCCGAGGTTCGAGGATCGAGGTTCTCGGGCGCTTTCGTGGGCTCCCGGAGGCCTTTCGGCCTCGGGATGCGGAGGAGCAAGAAGCCTTCGGCCCCAATTGCTCCGACCCCTCCTGGGAGGCCTCCAGCTTTGAGGGCATTTTTTCCGCCAGTGGCCGCCCCGATCCTCGATGCTGGCTGATCCCCAGGGATCCTTAAAACCTCCACGGGCCTGCGGGCGAACTGCCCCCGACCCAAGCCTCGGGAGCGTCGCGCGGCGCAGTGGTTACCTTCGCGCTCCCGAGCGGGGATGGGAAAGGATGTCAGCCAGTCAGGTCGCCTCGCGCCAGACGGTGCGCAAGCAAGAGAGTACACTGCAGCACAGAGGACCAAAGATGCCGTGCGCGGGCAGCTGACTCCCGTGCCGGCGCTGCACCGCCCTCCGGGCAGGGGTGCCAGCGTCGCCAAGGAAGGCGACGGGGGCAGCGGGGGAGGGAGTCGAGTACGGGGCGTGAAAACGACCACAGCCACTGCTTTTCTTTTGTTGCCGCCTTCCAGCCCGCAGAAACAAAGCAGTGGTTGTGGTCATTTCCGTGGAGCTCGGCACCAGGGAAATGACCACAACCACCGCTTCTTTGCCGGCCGGCTGGGAGGCGGCGCAGACAAGGAGCCGTGCCTGCGGTCATTTTCCCGTCCCGCATCGATCAGGAGGAAAAGAAACACACAGACACAATTAATCCTCGATTTCCCAGAGAATATGGGAAACTATGGGAGTTGGGGGGGAAGACAAAAACCCAGAAAATATGAGAAAATATGGGGATTTTTTTTTATTTGTGTGTATTTATTTGTGTGTCCCAGGGCCCCTTCACAGAGGCAAGCGGTCGGACGGGGCCAGGGCGAGGGCGGGCGGGAGGCGCTGGCCCGCGCACGGGGCCACGGCGGCCGCCGCCGCCCTGGCCGCGGCGTCTGCCGCGGCTGCCGCGCCCCGCCGCGGGCGCCCCGTGGGGGGGGGGGGGGGGGGGGCGGCGGCCCCACTGGTGTCGGCCTCGGCCACGCGCAGCGGGAGGGGGGAGGGGGTAGGGGGGGGGGGGAGTTGGAGGAGGGGGGGGGTAGGGGGGGGGGGGGGCAGGGGTGGGGGAGGGGTGGGGGGTAGGGGAGGGGGAGGGGGAGGAGACCGCTTCTCGGAAGGCGCGGGCCTTGGCTGCAACGATGCGAGGCCCGCGCCTTCTGGGAAGCAGCCTCGTTCCTGCGAGGACCTCCCCCCTCCCCCTGCAGCTGGAGCGAGGGCCAAGAGCAGCCCTGGCTCTGGATGGGGATGCCCTGATGCTCGTCCTGCTTGGGCTCTCCCTGGAATGGCCTGCGTTTGGCGTGTCTCCATGGGGCCTTGGGCTCTCGGCGAAGGGACTCGTGTTCTTGATGGACGTTCTCGTGTCGATGTCTCGTGTTGATGACTCCCAGCGTTAAGTCGGGCACGTCCCTCTACAGGGGGAAAATTCAGACATAGTGCAATATGGTCAGGGGACGACTTTTTGGGCATTTTTTTTTGTTTTTTCAAAAAAAAAAAAACCATTTCGTCCAAAATCCCCCTGCAGGAGGACACTTAACGGGCGAAGAACGGTATAAGATAAACTTTTTCGCCGTCGGGGACACCTGCCCCTGGGCGGCTGGAAAGTTTATACCCCTGCGGTGGCATCATAGGGGTATAATTTTTCAGCCGCCCTGGGGCAGGTGTCCCCGACGGCGGAAGAAGTTTATGTTATACGGTTCTTCGCCCGTTAGGACACGCCCGACCTGACCGTACAGTCGGGGCCCTGAAGAAGGAACCCTCTTCGTTGGGGGGGGGCTCCGCGTTCCTTAAGTGTTTCGCAGCCTGCCCCAGGTTTTCCTTCTGTTTTCGATGGGAAGTCGAAGTTTGACTTTTGGAAAAGAGGGGCCTCGTTCCTTACTTGGGGTTCCTTAGGTCAACGCCCCGACCGCACCCCGCTTCGCGCGCCGCCGGCCGCGGGTGGCCGGCCCTCGCGGGCCTCCGGGCCCGCAGCCTCCTCGGGGGGGGGGGGCGGCCGCGCGGCTCCGGGCGCGCGGGCCGGGGGGGCGGAGGAGGGGCGCTCCAGTCGGGGGCGGAGAAGAGGGGGGTGATGACCAGGGGGGGTGGATATCATGGCGGGGGCCATGATATTTCCCCAGATCTCATGGCGCCTCTTCTCATTTCATTACGTCCCTGGCCTCCCCGCTGGGCCGCGCACATGCCGCCTGTCATGATTTGCCCTCCCCCCCCCCTCTTGGACACCCCCCTCTTGGCCGCTCCCGATCCAGGAGGGCCCCCAAGAGGGCCCCAAATAAAACGACGCGAAGATCGGGACAAAATCGGATCGGGATAACTCGAAATCTCTGAGAATCGGCGGGTTTGGAGGATGTATTGGGCGCCGCGGCCGCTCCAGAGCGTTCCGGAACGCTCTGAGAGCGCTCCGGAACGCTCTGGAGCGATTTATCCCGATCCTAGCTCTGTTTTACCCCAAAAGGGCAAACATCATTGGTGTTCCGTATGCTTTTCTGCGTCTTTCGCGGTCTCGCGTTTTTTTTTTGAGCTTCTGGCGCTCCCAGATGGCCCCAGAGGCCCCCAAGGCCGCCCCGAGACAGCCCAAGAGGCCGCCGAGAGGACCCCGAGATGGTCCAAGAGGGCCCCAAGATGCCCCAAGAGGCGCCCAAGATCGCAGGAGGGGGGAGCGACGAGGAGGCCCAGACGTGCCCGCGTCGCGAGAAAAGTCAGGACGGACAGGTTTCTGGCCGTCTTCGAGACCCCGGGGGCCCTCACCGGGCCCGGGACCATCAGCAAAACAGCCCAGGATGGAAAACATGCCAGTTGCGTGACTCTTTGCTGCCCGCTCCCATCTTCCCCCCCCCTTAGAAAAAAATCGGCACAGCAGCCTCCCGTCGTTGACACGACATCGACTACAAGGATTCCTCTCCCTCCTCCCCTCCCCTCCGTTTCACATTTTTTTTACATGTCTCGCATGCACGCCTCACCATACACAATACTATTTCAGAGGCCACGGCCTCATTCACCTGGTCTCCAGTCGCATTGGTGGTCGTTCGTTCGTTCGTTCGTACCGAGGCCTCCCTGTTGCTCCCCGGCCTCCCAGGACCCTGCTCGGCTCGTCCTGGCTGTGGTCTGTGCGCGCGGAGACGCCGCAGTGCATGCCGACGGAGACCCACTTCTGGTTCGCGGCCTTCTGGCTCCCGAGGGAGGGGGAATGGGAGGAGGAGGAGGAAGACAGTGCAAACCCAAGATTTATCAACGATTTTGCAATCAACCCTCGCTCCAAGTTCCCTCGTCCCAGGCTCCTGCGCAGATGCGTGTTCACTGGGGGAACTGCCCAGTTGCAAGACAACCGTTTGAAAATCCGGCGTTGTGCCAGAACCCCTTTCCTGGGTCTTATGCGCCGCGAATCTCCGTTAGTGTTGCGTCTTGACGGTCCTGAACCGTGCCAGAAGACCACTTCTGGGGTTTCAGCACTGCGAATCACTGTGACCATTGCGCCCTGATGATATGCCGACATTGTGCCAAAACATGATGTCTGGGACGTTAATCATGGGAATCCATGAAGGTGCTGCAAACTCTGAAGACGACTGTGCGCGGCGCTCAGGTGGGAGCCACATTTGCAAACGGACCGCCCTCTATCCGTGAAGCTCTTGCAATAGTCTACGACGAGTATACGCGGCGCTCAGGCGAGAGCCACATTTTGAAGACGGACCGCTCTCCATCCGTGACACTTTTGCGGCGCTAATGAAGGGCGAGAGCCACATTCTGAAAACGGACCGCCCTCCATCCGTGAAGTTTCAATGTGAGGAAGTCTCAGGCGAAACGCACGGCCATTTCGACCAGCCTCGGGGTGCGACAGGGGGGAGTTCTTTATATACAGAAATAGAATGGAGGAGGAGGAGGAGGGCGAGGAGGAGGAGAAGGGGAAGGATGAGGAGGGGAGGGGAGGGGATGGAGGAGGAGGAGGAGGAGGAGGAGGAGGAGGAGGAGGAGGAGGAGGAGGAGGAGGAGGAGGAGGAGGAGGAGGAGGAGGAGGAGGGGAAGTGGCAGCAGCGGCAGCAGCAGTAGCAGCCGAGTACAAGCGGCGGAATGCGCGCGTCTACGCCTGGCCGAGATTTCAAAGAACCTTCGGGGTCCCGCAGCGCCCGGCAACCGCCAGAACCATCCAGGCCTAGATGGCGGGGAGGAGCGATGGGCAGACGAAGCTGCAGGGGGGCCATGTTGTGAAAAAGCCACGGCGTCGGATGTTCGGGTACAACCACGGTCCACACCCTCGACGGATTTTTGTTGTCGTTTTTGTTTTGTTGCTTCAGTCTGGGTGTTTTCCCTTCAATTCTTCCTCCGGGGGCCGCTTTCGGGCCACGGGGCCATCAGACACGGATCCAGGGTGAAGAAGTGTCCCCAGGGGAGGGGTCGAGAGACCCTCGGGGCCCGCGGATTGAAGAAATCATTCTGTCGGATGTCTGGGGTTTTGAATCAAGGAACTCGGCGACGTCCAGTTAGCCCCTGCTCCTCTCTTTGTTTTTTTTTGCCCCGCTCCCGAGGCCCGCGGGTCAGGCAGACTCAAATTCTTTACGCTTCGCGTATCCCCACCAGCCCATCTCACAGCAGCAACTCTCGCGAAGCATGCCGACAGTCGTGTTTTTCAGGCGTGTGTCCGCTTGGCCCCGCATATCTCCCCTGTTCCTCCTTCCTCCCGCCTCCTTGTACATCCTCCTTGTGAGGGGAGCGGGAGAAGGACGAGGCGGAGGAGGAGGGAGAGAAAGCGCTCCTCGTGGTTTGAGTCGTTTGGGGTTTCTCGTCCTGGTGTGAGTCGTTCGGGCCCTTCTTCCTGGTGTGAGTCGTTCGGGCTCTTCGTGGTGTGAGTCGTTCGGGCTCTTCGTCCTGGTGTGAGTCGTTCGGGCTTCTCGTGGTGTGAGTTGTTCGGGCCCCTCATCCTGGTGTGAGTCGTTCGGGCCCCTCCTCCTGGTGTGACTCGTTCGGGCTCCTCGTGGTGTGAGTCGTTCGGGGCCCGCGTCGTGGTGTGAGTCGTTCGGGCTCCTCGTGGTGTGAGTCGTTCGGGCGCCTCGTCCTGGTGTGAGTCGTTCGGGCCCCTCCTTGTGGTGTGAGTCGTTCGGGCTCTTCGTGGTGTGAGTCGTTCGGGCCCCTCGTCCTGGTGTGAGTCGTTCGGGCTCCTCGTGGGGCCTCTTGGGGGCCTCTTGGAGCCTCGTGGGGCCTCTTGGGGGCCTCTTGGGGGCCTCTTGGGGGCCTCTTGGGCCTCGTGGGAGCCTCTTGGGGGCCTCTTGGGGCCTCGTGGGGCCTCTTGGGGGCCTCTTGGGGGCCTCTTGGCGGCCTCTTGGGGCCGCTGGGGCGCCTCTGGGGGGCCTCTTGGAGGCCTCTTGGGAGCCTCCTGGGGGCCTCTGGGGGCCATCTTGGGGCCTCTCGCGACCTCCTCAGAAGCGCAAATGAGAGCTGCCCCCTGAGAAGGACAAACTGAGCCCAAAACCTTCGTAAAATCAATGATTTTGCTATGAGGGTAGAGAAGCGCGGCCCCCTCAGAAGGCCAAAATGGGGCCAACACCCTCGTAAAATCAATGATTTTGGCTTCAAAGAAGAGCAGAGGGGCCAAAGTGGTTCCCCCCGTCGGGGCCAGAATCCTCGTGAGGGTCGTCGTTTTTTGGCCCGAGTCGAAAAAGACCCCCCTGACCACGCTCGGCCCGCCCTCTCCAGGTCCAGGGGGAGGGGGTAGGGGGAGGGGTAAACCCCTCCACGAAGGGGAAGAAGGGGGGTTGAGGACAGAGCGGGCTTTCTAAACCACTCACGCCCAAAGGGCTGGTGGGATTTATAGAGCCACGGTTTCCTTGTCCCACGTTTTTGGACCTACACCGCCACCATGCCTGGCCAGAGCCATCCCGGGCCCAGGCACGGCGTATACGGTTAGTTTGTATCGTGTCGACTTGGCGGCGACCCCAGCGATGGCGTTCAGGGCTGAATGCTTGCAGTGGCTTGGAATCGGTTGATCTCGTACTTTCTGCACAACTTATCGGATAGCCGCGACCATTCAATGTTGATCGATCCACGCGCTGTCAGGAAAAGCGCCAACGTCATCGCGACTCAAACCTACCGCACGCCACGACGCCTGGCCAAGGCCATCTGTGGCTCTTTGAACAGTGTATACTATACAGTCAAGACGCTTAAGTAGAATCTCTTCGGGTTCAGGAGGGGATCTGGTTACCGGGCCGTTCCTTGTATTCCACGTCGTCAGTGCTCCCCTTCGTCCTCTTCTCTCGCGCACTTTTTCCCTCCTCTTTCGTGCCTCAGTTCGCCTCCGGTGCACCCCACCGTTTGCTTTGGCCGGCACCTGACAGTCTTGCACCACCTGGCGCACGCGGACTTCACATAGGGCGACGATATCTATACATATCCACTGCTCCCAGCCAGGCCAATCCTGGGCCCAAGAGCTGTGTATACGCCCTCCTGGCTTGGCCAGGGAGGCACATACACCGCTCCTGGGCCCAGGATGGGCCTGGCCAGGAGCAGTGGATATGCATAGATCTCGTCGCCCTGTTAACAGTGTCCACGTCGGGGAACACGCTCGTGGCCGAGGCCCGCCGTGGCCTGGAATAAGGCCCCTCGTGCCTTATTTTCAGCGCTCCTCGTGGTGGCACGAGGCCTGTGCGCCCTCCTGGCCGGGGCCGTTAGGTTCTTCGATGCCACTCCGGGGCCCAGGGATGGCCCCTGGGGAAGGGTGGCGGTGGCGGTGCGCAGGTGGCCTCCGCGGAGAGCATCGACCATCGCCGATCGAAACGCACATTCTGGCATAAGCACAACACACATACATACATACATACATACATGCATGCATGCATGCATGCGTACGTACGTACATACATACATACATACATACATACATACATACATACATGCATGCATGCATGCATGCATGCATGCATGCATGCATACATGCATACATGCATGCATGCATGCATGCATGCATGCATACGTGCATACATAACATACATACATACATACATGCATGCATGCATGCATGCATGCATGCTGCATGCATGCATGAATGCATGCATACGTGCGCATACATGCATATGCATACATACATACATACATACATACATACATACATACATACACACATACATACATAATACATACACACATACATACATACATACATACATACATACATACACATACATACATACATGCATGTATGCATGCATCCATACATACATACATACATACATACATACACACATACACACATACATACATACATACATACACACATACATACATACATGCATGCATGCATACATACATACCTACACATACATACAAACATGCATGTATGCATGCATCCATACATACATACATACATACATACATACATACATACACACATACACACATACATATATACATACATACACACATACATACATACATACATGCATGCATGCATGCATGCATGCATGCATACACATACATACATACATACATACATACATACATACATACATACATACATACATACATGCACATACACACATACATACATACATGCATGCATGCATGCATGCATGCATGCATGCATACATACATATATACACATATGACACACATACACACATACTACATACATGCATACACACATACATACATACATGCATGCACATACAATACATACATACACATACATACATACATGCATGTATGCATGCATACATACATACATACATATACATACAACATACACACATACATACATACATCATACACACATACATACATACATGCATGCATGCATGCATGCATGCATGCATACACACATACACACATACATACATACATACATACATACATACATGCATGCATGCATGCATACATACATACATACATACATACATACATACATGCATTCATGCATGCATGCATGCATGCATGCATACGTGCATACATACATGCATGCATGCATGCATGCATACGTGCATACATACATACATACACACATACATACATACATACATACACACATACATACATACATACATACATACATACACATACATACATACATGCATGTATGCATGCATGCATCCATACATACATACATACATACATACATACACACATACACACATACATACATACATACATACACACATACATACATACATACATGCATGCATGCATACA